CCCCATCCCATCATTCCAGGCACTGGTGAAGGCTTCAAGGAGCACCAGCCCCAGGCTCCACCCCACAGGGATGTTGCAGCTGGATAAGGTGATGCTGACACCCCTTGCAGCCCTCCTGCCACGCAGGTTTCCACCTTCCTTCTTCTCCTCTCCTGGTCACATCTCTCCACTCTGCCAGCAAGTAGACTATAGGAAACCATGTCCTAGACCTCAGAGGTTCATGGTAAACTTCCCCCATTGCTCTCCTCTTGAACTCAGCCCAGTATTCCCACCACACAGGTAGGTTGGACAGGCATGACTTGCTCTTGGTAAATCCTGCCCGGCTTTCCCCATCCACCAACATGTCCTCCCTGGGCCTGGAGCACTGCATGGCCAGGAGGGCATGCTCCACAGTCTTATTCAGATCCGGGCTGTTCTCTGACTGGGAGAACAAAGGTCAGCCCTGGGACAGGCTGTGGCCAAAGGCAGGTGATGGAGAGGAGAAAGGGCAGGACAGGAGCCAGCAGCAGCCGGTGACGGAGGAAAGGGGCAGCCAGTAAAACCAAAGCATTCCCTGAAGGGGGCCATCTGGTGACACCAATGGCGCCACATACCCGCTTTCACAGGGTGCAAGAGACACCTCTCCAACCGTCCTCAGCAGAAGGCAGCAGAGGTAAGCAGGGCTCATTACTGGTGTCCCCTCCCTGGGTCCAGGGCTGGAGGGCAGGGGCTGGGGATGTAAGCATGAGCATGAGCATAGAACACAGAAATACAGTCTCTTTTCTGTAAGCCTTGTTGTGAAATGCAGACCTGTCCCAGTCTGTCCTCCACATTAGAAAAAATCAGGGCAGTCATTTGAAGGTCCTAACAACAAAAAAAGGAGGAAGAGTACAACTAAAAGCAAGGAGCTTCCTCCTAAAATCTGTTGTCCCCACCCAGAACCGCTTTGCTGTCGTGCAGGGGGCTCAAGAGGAAATGCACTCGCACCATGAACAACCAGCTGGTGCACTGGTAAAAAAGATCCCTATTTGTGCTGCCAGGAAAGTGCAGCGGTTCATAGTAGTAGGGACTCTTACTTTGAAAGGCACAGAAGCACTGATCTGTCGGCCTGACCCAGTCTCAAGGGAGATATGTTGCCTACCTGGGGCACTGATCAGGGATGTTGCTGAGAGGCTGCCTGGTCTAGTAAGTCCCACTGACTATTACCCACTTCTAGTGATCCATGTGGGTGATAGGGATAGAGATAGCAGGAGCATGGAAAGAAGGACTACAGAGCCCTGGGAGAGGTGGTTAGGGGCTCTGGAGCTCAGACAGTCTTTTCATCATTTCTTCAGGATAAAGGGGAGGACCTAAAAAAAGCTAGAAGGATTAGCCAGGTTAATAAATGGTTAAAAGGGTGGTGTCATAGTCAGGGGTTTGGGTGTCTTGAACACGGGACCCAAGGTTGTAGGCCAGGTCTACTGGGGGCTGGTGGAGCTGCTCTGGTAAGAGAAGGGGAAGAGCAGTTTTGGTAGGAGGCTTGCCAGACTGCTCGAAGATGCTTTAAACTAGATGTGTTGGAGGAGGGGGGCATCATTCCATCCCAACACACCCAGTCAGTTGCTAGCACCTATAATAAATGCTCAGAGCAATGTAGAGATATTCCAGCTGCTCCAGCCAATGAGCCGGCTTCAGTTGGAGCTCAGCTCAGGTGCCTGTATACAAACGCTCGTAGCATGGGGAACAAAGAAGAGGAATTAGAGATGTGTGCACGTCTACGGGGGTATGATATAACAGGCATCACAGAAACATGGTGGGATGGCTCCTACGACTGGAGTGTTGGAATGGAAGGCTACAGGCTCTTTAGAAAAGACAGGCCCAGCAGGCGGGGAGGGGAAGTTGCTCTTTATGTTAGGAATAAGATGGAGAGTATGGAACTTTGTCTGGGGAGAGGGAGCAGTTAACAGAGAGTCTGTGGGTCAGGGTTAAAGGGAGAATAGCTACAGGGGACATTACTGTGGGGATCTATTACAGACCACCTGATCAAGAGGATTATGTGGATGAAGCACTCTATAGACAGATAGGAACAGCCTCACGCTCACAGGCCCTTGTTCTCATGGGGGACTTCAACCACCCTGACATCTGTTGGAGGGACGGTACAGCCCAGCATAAACAATCCAGAAGGTTCCTCGATTGTGTGAGAAGACAACTTCCTTCTGCAAGTAACAGAGGAGCCGACAAGGAGAGGTGCTGTGCTTGACCTCGTGCTCACCAACAGGGAACGGCTGGTTGGAAATGTGACTCTCCAGGGCAGCCTTGGATGCAGCGATCACGAGATGGTCGAGTTCAAGATCCTCAGGACAGTGAGAAGAGCGTACAGCAAGCTCACTGCCCTGGACTTCAAGAGAGCAGACTTTGGCCTCTTCAGGAAAAACCTTAGTAAGGTTCCATGGGATATAGCCCTATAAGGCAGGAGGGGCCAAGATTGTTCGTTCATATTCAAAGATCACCTGCTACAGTCTCAGGAGTGTTGCATCCCAACTAGGAGGAAGTGCAGCAGGAGGGCCAGGAGACCTCCTTGGATGGATAAGGAGCTCCTGAGGAAAATTCAAATGAAAAAAGAGGCTTATAAAAGGTGGAGGCAAGAACAGGTGGCATGGGAAGAATACAGGGATGTTGTCCGGGAAGCTAGGGACCAGGTTAGGTAAGCTAAGGCCCAGTTAGAATTAAACTTGCCTAGGGATGTTAAGGATAAAAGGAGGGATTCTACAGGTACACAGTGAATAAAAGACAGACTAGGGACAATGTAGGCCCCCTCCGGAAGCTCTCGGGAGAACTGGCTACCCTGGATTTGGAGAAGGCTGAGGTTCTGAATGACTTCTTTACCTTGGTCTTCACTGGCAAAGGCCCAGACCACACCACCCAAGTCTTGGAAGGCAGACGCAGGGACTGTGAGAGTGAAGACTCTAGGCCCACTGTAGGAGAGGATCTGGTTCGAGACCACCTTAAAAACCTGAACGTGCACAAGTCCATGGGACCTGATGAGATCCATCCGTGGGTCCTGAAGAAGCTGGCAAATGAAGTTGCTAAGCCACTGGCCATCATACTTGAAAAATCATGGCAGTCAGGTGAAGTTCCCGATGACTGGAAAAAAGGAAATATAACCCCCATTTTCAAGAAGGGGAAAATGGATGACCCAGGGAACTACAGACCAGTCAGTCTCACCTCTGTGCCTGGCAAAATCCTGGAGCAGATTCTCCTGGAAGGCATGCTAAGGCACATGAAAAACAACAAGGTGCTTGGTGACAGCCAGCATGGCTTCACCAAGGGGAAATCCTGCCTGACCAATTTGGTGGCCTTCTATGATGGGGCTACAGAACTGATGGACAGGGGTAGAGCAGTTGGCATCATCTACCTGGACTTGTGCAAAGCGTTCGACACTGTCCCACACGACATCCTTGTCTCTAAATTGGAGAGACATCAATTTGATGGATGGACCACTCAGTGGATAAAGACCTGGCTGGATGGCCGCACACAAAGAGTTGTGGTCAATGGCTCAGTGTCCAGCTGGAGACCAGTAACGAGTGGTGTCCCTCAGGGATCGGTGCTGGGACCGGTCTTGTTCAACATCTTCGTCGCTGACATGGACAGTGGGATTGAGTGCGCCCTCAGCAAGTTTGCCGATGACACCAAGCTGTGTGGTTCGGTTGACACGCTGGAGGGAAGGAATGCCATCCAGAGGGACCTCGACACGCTTGTGAGGTGGGCTGATGCCAACCTCATGAAGTTTAACCATGCCAAGTGCAAGGTCCTACACCTGGGTTGGAACAATCCCAAGCAGGGCTACAGGTTGGGCAGAGAAGAGATTCAGAGCAGCCCTGCGGAGAGGGACTTGGGGGTGCAGATCATTGAGAAAATGAACATGAGCCGGCTTCAGTGTGCACTCACAGCCCAGAAATCAACCGTATCCTGGGCTGCATCAAAAGGAGCATGACCATCAGGTAGAAGGAGGTGATCCTGCCCCTCTACTCTGCTCTTGTGAGACCTCACCTGGAGTATTGTGTGCAGTTCTGGTGTCCTCAACATCAAAAGGACATGGAACTGTTGGAACAAGTCCAGAGGAGGCCACGAGGATGATCAGGGGACTGGAGCACCTCCCGTATGAAGACAGGCTGAGAAAGTTGGGGCTGTTCAGCCTGGAGAAGAGAAGCTGTGTGGAGACTTCATAGCAGCCTTCCAGTATCTGAAGGGGGCCTATAGGGATGCTGGGGAGGGACTCTTCATTAGGGACTGTAGTGATAGGACAAGGGGTAACAGGTTCAAAGTGAAACAGGAGAAAGTCAGGTTAGGCACAAGGAAGAAGTTCTTTACTGTAGTAAGGGTGGTGAGGCACTGGAATGGGTTGCCCCAGGAAGTTGTGAATGCTCCATCCCTGGCAGTGTTCAAGGCCAGGTTGGACAGAGCCTTGGGCAACACGGTCTAGGGTGAAGTGACCCTGCCCATGGCAAACAGTTGGAACTGGATGATCTTAAGGTGCTTTCCAACCCAAACCATTCTATGATTCTATGAATCCGTATACCTTTAAAATAGCTTTGCAGTGCAATAGCTTTGGAGACAACAGTATACAGGGATGTGGCTGTGCAGGAGGGAAAAGGTGTCTCTGCTGTGCACCCTGAGCTCCAATCACTCAGATGTATGGTGGAGATGGTGTTCCAGAGTTACCACTCGGCAGGGAGAGGAGGAACGGTCTTGAACGTGCTCCTCACATCTGGCAGCTTCTCACAGATCCATGGCCATTTTCTTGAGCAGTAGAATCTTTCCATCTTACCATAGGATATTCCTGGACAGGTCCAACTTCTGTTGCAAGAAGGGAGGGCACACGTGAGAGGTGCCATCACCATGCTCTCAGCCTGCTGCCACCATGCTGTACCCCACACAGCTGCAGCCTCAGGGCCCCTTAGCCTGGGCAGGAGGATGTGTCCAGCGCATTTCCCCGTGGCTGGTGAAGCTGCGAGAGATGCAGGTGGCCAAGATGGAACAACTTACTCTTTATATTGCCATCCATACGTGTCCTCGCGTGAATGGAGATGACTTTTGTATCTCTCCCCGACCCAGTACACGGCGCCATTCCCCTGCACAAAGATTTGGGGGGAGAGAAGCTGTTGACCGCCTGACCCTTGCCCAGAGCCCACCGGGTGCCCGAGAGCCCCAGGTCTGGTGGTGGCCCCCAGCACCTCCGCAGCGCTGCTGCTGCTGGATCTGCCCGCCCCAGCATTGCCCCCAGCCCTGGGGTGCTGCAGCCCCTCTGCTCCGTACCGGCGTTGTCCACGCTGGCCAGTCGTCTTGGACTAGCAGCTGAGCGGACGTCCTTTGGCAGTATTGACGGCTGTCCCTCCACGTCTTGCTCTCCACGGAGATGAAGAGGCACTTGCCCCTGTAGAGCACCCAGCCCGAGGGGCAGCACTCTGGGGACACGGGCACGGCTCAGGCGCTCGCCGTCACAAGGATGCTCGGGGGGCCCGTCCTGGCCGGGATCAGCCTCTCGTCTCCCCGGCAGCATCCCTGCCCGTCCCGCAGCCCAGCACGGCCCTACCTGTGTTCAGGCAGGCGCGCAGGCTGGCCACGGTGCTCTGGCTGCTGTTGAGCTCTCCCTGCAGGCGCTGCACATCCCTGAGCAGCTCGGCCAGCTCCTGCCTGGCGCGCCCCAGCTCCGTGTCCCGCAGCTCCAGCTCCGCTCGGCTCCTGTTGCCGTCCCACCACGCATGGCCCAGCTCCGCTCTGGCCCTCACCAGCTGCAGCCGCGTCTGCTCCAGGCGCTGCTCCCGGGCGCTCAGCTCCTGCTCCAGGCGGCCCTGCTCGGCCGCGTGCTCCCGGGAGGCGTCCCGCAGGCTGCGGGTGACCTGCCAGTCTGGGCACAGGCACAGGGATGGGCACAGTGCGGGCACAGCCCGGGCATGGGCACCAGCGACCGACCCGTGCGCCCACGGCCATGGCGAGGGACATGGGATGAGAGTGTCGGGATGTGGGCAGAGACTGTCCTCGGGTGCCAGCGGGAAGGGAAGGGAAGGGAAGGGAAGGGAAGGGAAGGGAAGGGAAGGGAAGGGAAGGGAAGGGAAGGGAAGGGAAGGGAAGGGAAGGGAAGGGAAGGGAAGGGAAGGGAAGGGAAGGGAAGGGAAGGGAAGGGAAGGGAAGGGAAGGGAAGGGAAGGGAAGGGAAGGGAAGGGAAGGGAAGGGAAGGGAAGGGAAGGGAAGGGAAGGGAAGGGAAGGGAAGGGAAGGGAATGGTCTGCGGTGGTTAAGTGGAAGGGAGGCAATGGGTGCCGGTGGGAGCCAATGGGAAGGCGTTTGGAGGCAATGGGAGGTAAAAGGAAGGCAATGGGAGGCACTGAGCAGGTAAGCAATGAGAAGGCAGTGTGAATGTATTTGGAAGCAATATTAAGGAAGCTGAAAGAAGTGGGAGACATTGAAGGCAGTGTAAAGGTAGTGGAAAGGTAGTGGGAAGTAATGGTGAGGCTGTGGGAGGCAATTTGTGGCAATGGGAGGCAATCAGAAGGCAGTGGGAGGCAACGGGAAAGGAGTGGGAAGCAATGGGAGGCAATAGGAAAGCAGTGGAAGCAGTCTGAGCCAGTGGGAAGCAGTGAGGGCGATGAGGTGCTGGGAACAGGCTGCCCAAGGAAGTTGTGAACGCTCCATCCCTGGCGGCGTACAAGGCCAGGTTGAACAGAGCCTTGGGTGACATGGTTTAGTGTGAGGTGTCCCTGCCCATAGCAGGGGGGGTGGAACTGGATGAGCTTTAAAGTCCTTTCCTGACCCAAACCATTCTATGATGCTGTGACTCTATGATAGGCAGTAAGAATCAGTGGTAGGCACAGGAAAAGCAATGCAGGCAGACAAGGGAGCTCAGGCTGGCCAAGCCAAAAGCAATGCCAGCCTCAGATCATCAGACCCCAGCACCCCTTGGACCCAACAACCCCCAGCATCCCAGACCTTGCCCAGCCTCACGGCAGGTCCCCAGGACCTGGGTAGTTCCCAGACACTCACAGCAGGTCCCCAGCGAGTGGATAGCACCCACTCCCGGTGCTACCCTTCATCTCCCCCCACCCCACAGCCCTCACCCAGACTCACAGCAGGTCCCCAGGGCCACGGTGCCCACCACCAGCAGCACCAGCAGCACCAGCAGGCTGGTGGCCAGCGGCCCCATGGGGACACGCCAGCGCCGGGGCCATCGCCCTGCAAGAGGTGACATGAGCTGAGCTGAGCTGTGAGCACAGCATCACCCATGGTCCCACTGCCGCCCCCCGCTGCCCACCCTGCGCCTCAGCATCCTCGTGTCGGTGGCCGGGCTCTGACCTGGGCTCTGCTCTGCAGGCACCGTCCCCAGCAGCACGTTCTCGTAGGGGCTGTCGTCCTCGTCGGGGGCTGCGGGGCAGGAGGGCACGGCCAGCGGCGGGGATGCTGCGAACTTCAGGTCGGCGTAGACCACGCTCTGGGCCATGCTTGCAGGCGCCCCAGGCAGCAGCAGAGTGAGGGCTCGCTGCTGCCTTGCCCTGGCCAAACCCCCGTGGGGTGGAGACACCTCTTGATCAGAAAAGCAGACGCGTTTTTATTTGCAAATGGGTTTTTTTCCCGAGGCTGCTCTTGCTGTGCAGTGCGTGGGGGTGAACCAGCTCCTCCCAGGCAGCGCACTCTGCCCCCATGTCCCCACAGGCTGTGAGGAGCCCCAGGAGCCGGTGTCTGCTGGGCACTCCAGGGCCGCGCGGCCCCATGCAGCACCTTCCCATCTCCCGCTTGGAGGCACTCTGCAGTGACTGTGGAGTTCTGTCCTCAACATTTCTCAGGACGGATTCCCAGGGATGTCCATGCTGGAGCTGCATGCTGCTGGCACAACCCATGTGGTCTATATCAAAACCGTCATAGCCCCCAGGGCCAAGCCCCTCCAAACCAAGACCCTGTAGACCTTTTAGACTCTCACCCATCACCCAGCCTCAAGGCAAAGTGAGGGCATTTGCTGTGACCTCCTCAGACTGGATGGGAACCAGCAGACAAGCTCCTGCCCAGCCCTCCATGTGACCAGGGATGCTTACCGAAGCAGAATAAACCCTGGACAGCCACCACCACAACCAAAAGCCCGGAGCTTTGCAGGGATCTGCTCCAGCCTGCACAGGAGCTTTTCCAGGCTGCCCCCAGGACATGAGGGTGCTCAGATCGATGCCACTTCTTCCAGTGCTGTTTCCGACCCAGCAGCAATGCGACTGGGTCTGGGCGCCAGAGGATGCGCCTCCATCCCACCGCCCTCATCCCCCAAAACCAGCCACAGCATTCAAGTGCCAGGGTTTATTGGCAAATTGCAGAGATCCAGCGGGGTGAAGCGTCTGAATGAGGAAGCAGCAGCACCAAAGGATGCCCGTGCATTGGGATGGGACAGGCTGGAAGTCCCCATGGTCATCAGGGGCCAATGCAGGTGTAGGTGGTGTTTCCCCAGAGGAGGGTGGGTGGCGAGGACCGGACCCACTGCAGGGTGGATGCGCGCTGCTCACAAACCCAGCCCAGGGCTTCCCCACACAGACCACCTGACAGCCCCAGCCCTGACACCCTGCCGCAGGCCAGGAAGGAGCTGGTGGAGCGGTGGATTGGGAAGAGCCTGCAGGGAGAAAGGGCAGAGATGGGATGGACATGAAGGACTGGGGCTCTATCATCAGCAGCTCCTCAGGACAGTGATCAGGGATACTATGGGGGCAAAGCTCACCCTCTCCAGGGAGCACTGTGCCCTGACACCCTCTTCTTAATTAAGACACATGCCCTGATCCTCCCGACCCTACCCATGCCTGTTTGACATGCAGCTCCCATGCCCATCATGCACACAGCACCCCCAGGTCCTTCCTGGCAGGACTCAGCACCAGCTGCACTAAGAAAAGCCTGAGAACCTGGTTTGAGGGAGCCATCCTAGCTCCTCACCCAGGTGGGAGGTGGGCACCATCCCTTCCCAGTGCAGCCCTCGGAAGACAAGAGATAGCCAAAATGTGGAGCACATCTGTGAGAGACTGATCTGAAATCAGACTCCACTGCCCACTGTATCAAAGACTGGTCTCAGAAACTGAGCTGGAAATCCACCTATCTCCTGTCTCAGAGATGGGTGGGAGGAGTTAAGACCCCAATATCCATTGCCTGGGAGAAGGGTGTGAGAAGCTGAACTGGAACTCGACCACCCATTGCCTGAGGGATAAGTGGGAAAGAGCTAAGACTCTTCCATCCATTACTTTGAGGACTGGTGTGAGCTACTATCCCAAGGATCGCTGCAGACACATGTGTGTCAAAGAGCTGGCTGCAAGACCAGGGAAACTGGTCCACCAGGAATATGTAATATGTGACATGAACAGAGGTACTCCCCCCAGCTCTTGACAAAGGGGAAAAGGTAACCACCAAGAGACACATCACCAGGAGGCACATCGCCAGCGAGCCATTGCCATGAGGATAGCTCCAGAAGGACACCTCCGCGAGTACACTGTCCATCAATGAGTACTATGGATCCTGAGGGGCACCCTCCATGAGACATCGCCATGAGACACACTCCATGGGGTACTTTCAAGGGGTCTCAAGAAGGATGCCTCCACAAGGACACCCAGCTCCAATGGACTCTTGGGCAACACTCTGCTCCGATACCAACTACAAACCCTGAAGAACTTCCACCACCAATGATGATGTCAACAGATCCCTGGGACACCACTGGATCCATGGTGGCGACTCTCTCTCTTCCTCTCTCTCTCTGCACCCCGAATCCTTCCTTCATTTTCTACTTTTTTTCCCCAATCTATCATTACCCCCTTTATTACAACAATTTCCCTTTTTTATAACTCTCTTTTTGAAATTTGTAATAAAGTGTCCAGTGATGGTACTTGACCTCATTTGTGTCTTAATTTCAATCTTGGGATCATGACATGAAACATGGTCTGGCACTGGGTTTTTTCTCCAACTGGACCCTGACAACATCCTCACATGCAAGTGGGCTGCCTGTCTCCCCATCACCTCCCTCAGCATCTCTGGCTAGGGACAAGCAGGGAGCCTCACCCCTTCAGTGCAGTGCCATCCAGCCACTTCCAGTCAGACCTGGAGCCATCCCGCTTCAGCCCCACGTGGAAGACCTCTGTGTTGGCTGTGCGCATCAGGAAAGCCTAGCACAAGAGAGGACCTGCATGAGCTACCTGGGGGGGGAAACCCAGGCCCCTCCCAGTGATGGGGGTTGCAGAGTAAAGACACAGCACCTCCAGCTCTCTATCTGGAGGCTTAGCTAGGTTTTGGGCATGAGGGTCAGAGCCAGGGAGCTGAGATGGGTACGCTCACCAGGGTGGTGTTGGCTCGGATGGCGACCAGCTGTGCCCCTCTGGAGCAGCAGTCCTCTCTGCTCTGCTCCCAGCTCTTCTTGGTGAAGGAGAAGTAGTAGCACTGCCCCGCATCCCAGAGCCAGCCAGCTGGGCAGAACTGGCATCGCCCTGCACACCAGAAACACAGCTTGCAGCCCAAGGCACAGGACGGTGACAAGGGGCAGCCAGAGTACCAACCAACCCAATGTACTTCTATGGATACCCCTTGGAGAGGACCCTCTGCTTGCCCATGCTCTGGAGCCCAGCTCCCACATCCAGTGCAACAGGCTGGTTACATGAAGGTGATAGTATCGGGCAGATGGGTTAGCGAAGGGAGCTCCAGGTTTGGGGTTGTAATACAAACATCATTTGCAAAGCACACAGAATGCAGTCAAGATTTCAGCTTCACCAGAGACTGGTTGAAAGACAGCCCCCAGTGCCATCCAGCACATGGAAAACATGATCTTGGTGCTGGTGGAGTGCCCGGGCAATGCAGAGCCATGCTGGGGCCATTTTTACCAAAGGATCCCAGCAGGGCAGCCTGTTAGCAGCACCATGGTATGAGCCAGGGGACAGGCAGTAAGGGTGAAGGAAGACTGGTGGGAGGCACATTCTGGAGCAGGGACAGGTCCTGACTATTGAAAAGAACACCCAAGCCCCCTCCAAACCCTCTCCAAGCCTCACACAGGAGCCCACCAGGTTTTCCTACCTTGCTGCGTCTGTCGCCCATAGCTGGGGCTCTCCTCCCCGCTCCAGGCACCACAGGTGCAGCTCGCCTGTTGTCCCAAATCTACAGAGGAAGAATAAAAAAGAGTGCCACTGCCAACCCTGTGCTCCTGTTCCCAGCAGCACCAAGTGGCCTCTCCCATGGGACAACCCCCTTTAGGTGACCTGCCAGCCAAGCTCGACAATCTCCTTGTGGGTTTTGCTGTGCCTGGGAGCCCATCACAGAACAGGTTTTAGGGGAAAGTGCTTCTTTCAGTTTCAGTGTCACCACTCTCCCTCCTGTCTTCATGTCACTGCCTTGTGATGGAGCAGGATGTCCTGACACAGTCCCCAAGCCCACGCTATTCCACCGCCTTCCTCTCCCAGTCAGGCAGGCACAGTCTTGCTTCACCAACTTTCCTGCTTGCCCCAGAACCCGCAACACCCTCAGCCCCAAGTAGGAGGATGCTTGGGACATGAGCTCTGTCTGTTGGTACATGGTCCCCATGGTGCCAACCCCAACACCCCGACCAGAGAGCTCCAGGCACAAGTGGGTACTCACAGTGGAAGCTCAAGCTGATGAGGATGATTTGTGCCAGCAGGAGCAGCAGGGAGAGGACAGCCAGGCTGAGGGCAGCCCAGCACCAGGGCAGCCGCACAGTCTGCTGGGGAGCTGAAAAACAGAGTTAACCTCGACTCTGGGGGCTTTGTTGGAGCGGTGGGGACACCTCCAGCCAAGAGATGTCTGTGAACCCTGGTCAGGGTCTCAGGAGGCAGTTGAGGAACCCAGGAAAACTGAGGGAGAGCCCGTTTGCAGCACCTTGATCCTATTAGTGTCTTGCTGCAGACAGTGCTTGGCATGAGGCAGGTAGAGCAGAGTGGGGTGCAGTGGGCACCCCCTGACCTTGAGTTCCTCCTGTCCCCTGCCCCATGAGCAAGCAGAGTGCAACAGTGCTGGAGAAGAGCTGTCTGGGAGACGGTTCCCAGAAGAGGGGGTCAGGGGAATGGTCTCCGAGAAGGCAAGGGGCTGCAGAAGGGCAGGGGACCCTCCATGGTGCCAGGGACTGGGAGCAGCTCACCATTACCTGGGGTGGGGGGCAAGCGCAGATCAGCGTACGTGACCCCCTCGTCCATCCCTCCCTCAGTCTCTTGCTCTGCACCCACAGTTGAAGAAGCAACCCCTTCCCAGCCCCTTTTGGCAGCTGGCTGTGACGTGAAATGGAAAGTGTCACTTCCTGGTGGGGTCCCCAGGGGCACCACCTGGGACAGAACCCTGGGGGGGGTCACAGTGATGACAGTGACCGACTGGGGTAAGGGGGAGCCCCACGAGGCTGGCACCCAGACATTCCCTGCATGAGGGAACCCTGCACCCACACTGTGGGGCAGGGAGCTGAGGGGATGGCTGCTAGCTCAGACATGGGACTGTAGAAGAGAATCAGAGTCATTTGGGTTGGAAGGGACCTTCAAAGCTCACCTAGTCCAACCCCCTGCAATGAGCAGGGACATCTTCAATTAGATCAGGCTGTCCAGAACCATCCAGGCTGGCCTCGAATGCCTCCAGGGATGGGGCATCCACCACCCCTCTGGGCAACCTGTGCCAGTGTTTTACACCATCTTTGCAAAGGATTCCTTCCTCACATCCAGCCTGAATCTCCCCTCTTCCAGTTCAAAACCATCACCCCCAGTCCTATTGCAACAGGCCATGTGAGAAAGTTTCTCCCCATCCTCCTTATAGGGCCACTTCTAAGAACTGAAAGGTCACAGCATGGTTTCGGGTTAGAAGGGGCCTTTAAAGGTCAGCCAGATTTCCCGTGTTCCTCACCACAATGTTGGGACAGCCACAGCCCCCCAGTGCTCAGCCTATCTGCCCCGCGGGGCTGTGCATCATTGGGGAGCAGGGCTCTTTCTGCATCCCACTCCGAAAGTAGCAAGGCCGCGGGGTGTTTGCTCTCACACATGGTTCCTGCTGCCTTGTTTGCAGCCCAGCCCTGGAAAGCGGGGCACTGGGGCTCTCCACCCCATCCCAGAGCCTTGAGTGCTGCCGTGATGGCCATGGGGGCGGAGGGCAGGGTCCCCCAGCCGCGGGAGAGTCCCACCCGGGGGACAGCACCGCTGCAGCCGGGCAGGCTCGGACCACGGCCCCTGCGCCCGGCCGGACGGCGATGCTCTGGATAGCGCGGCCGGGACTACGTTTCCCAGCGGCTCCTCCCGGCGCTGCACATGCTCCGTGCGGCCTCCCGGCAGCTCCCGGTGCGGCGCCCGGTGCAGCGCAGGGGCGCTCGGTGCGGCTCCGGTGCTGCTCCGGGTGCAGCTCCCGGTGCAGCTCCCGGTGCGGCTCCCGGGAAGGTTCCCGGTGCTGCTCCGGGTGCGGCTCCCGGTGCTGCTCCCGGTGCGGCTCCCGGTGCGGATCTCTCTGCGGGTCCCGGTGCGCTGCGGACGCAGCAGACCCTCGGGGGTGCCGCGCCGCCGGGCCGGAGCCGAGCTTCCCCCGCCCTGGCAGCATGCCCCGCGGGCGAGCCTGGACGCAAGCGGAGGTCAGCAGCCTGCTGGCGCTGGTGGGGGGCTCGGGGGAGGCCGCCCTGCTCATGGCTTCCACGTCGCGACCCAACGAGGCGCTGTGGAGGGAGATATCCCAAGGGCTGGCAGCGGCCGGGTACTCGCGCAGCGTCGCCCAGTGCCGCTCCAAGTGGAAGGCGCTGAAGCAGGCTTTCCACTCGGAGCGGGAGACGCGCCAGAGGGCAGGACACCACTCAGACCGCCTGCCTCCGCACTACCGAGCCATGAAGAGCATATGGAAGGCGGCCGGGCGGCCCGTGTTCGGGGAGCGCAGGATGCCAGGTGAGTGCCGGGATGGGTGAATGGGTTTGGCAGGGTGGCTGGATGTGGGACAGTGGGTTAGCACTGGTACTGCACGGCCACCCAGGGTCTGCTGACGGTCTCTTCCTCTTCCTCTAGACATGGCGAAGCTGCCCTCTGGGAAGCGCAGGTCAGCCCATGCTGCCTGCTCTTTATCCTCACCAGAGCCACCAGGTACCTGTGGGCTCAGGCAGCCGGCGTGGGGCTTGTCCTGGCTGTGGGGTGTCAGGCACCCCTTGTGTCCTGGTTGTTGAAGCTCTTTTCTGCACCCACTCACCCTCCTGCAGAGCACAACGTTGGCGGGGACACCCCGGGAACGTTGATGTCCCCACTGCTGCGGTGTGTAAAGGACGAGCCAGAGACCCGTAAGTACCGGTCTGCCCCGCTGCACCGGGCTGCACGGCCACGGCTCCAGCCCAAGCCCATGTCAGCATGGTGGGAATGGAGGGCTTGAAGGGCTTAGAGGGCTGGGGGTCCCATCACGAGTCCCTCAGCAGGGGTGTTGGGACTTCTCTGTCCAGGGGCTTTGGCTCCAAACCAGTCCCAGAGCATGATGGGTTGGCTGGGACAGGACAGAAGGGGTTCCCCAGCTCTGACCCAGTCTGAGGGCTGCCTCGTGGCTTTAGGTCTCTAAAGGATGAGGCCAGGGGGCTCTGGCAGCTGTATAGCACTGCAGGGCATGACACCCCTTCCTCCAGCAGGTCCTGGCTTCCTGCTTCCCTGGTAACACCATAGATCTTCAGATGAGTTAGGGCTGGGTGTGAGGTCCAGAGGTGCTGCAGCTCCCCTGCCCTGCAGCCCACCCAGGGGCAGATGCTGCATCCCTCTCACTGCACATCGCAGGGGTTTGGCACAGAGGTGGTACAGATTATGTTCCTGGATCTGATTTGTGAGGGCACCCCAGCCAGCATCCCACACTGGGTAATCGCCTTCTGTCTCCCTAAATTCCCCCTGCAGTTTCAAGTGGATGTGGGATTCTTCTTCACTTCCAGCCCTAGTCTGTTCTGTAGCGTTGCTGCGTGCTGCTATGCCGCTGCTGCCTTCCAGCCCAGAGGTGGCTGCATTGCAGTGGTGGGTGAGTGACTCCTGCTTTTGTATCTAGCTTGTGAAATGCTTTGGGGCCCTGCAGGGCACTGTGGAGCTGTGGCTAAGGCAATTCGGGCTGCGGGGATGACCGGACAGACCCTGGGCTGGTGGTGACCCCCCCCAGCAGGTTCCATCAGACGGCGCATCTCTCCTCTCTGCTCTCTCCCAGCAGTGGATGGGGACCACGTCGCTGGAGGGCCACCCGCTTCCCACACCGTGCCACGTAAGGCTTTCCTTGCCCTGCTCAGTGCAGTAAACCCCCTCGGCCCCGCAAGCAGGGTCTGATACAGTTCTCATTGCAGACGCCCGTCACTGTTTTCCTCCCCTTCCATTCCTGGGTGAGTACCATGCCCTGGCCACCGTGCTCAGGTGCCCTAGAGCAGGAGGTAGATGCAGCTCACAGTCTGTGTCTGCTCTCCTTTCAGGCTTTCACACTGCCCTGAAGCAGGAAGGAGTTGAGCAAAAGGCTGGTAAGTGTCTGTGCCTTCAAGCAAGTCTCCCTGCCCCATGGAGCGGCTGTGTCCTGCCCGTGAGGACAGAGGGCAGGGGCTCCTGCGGGCACTCTGGTTACTTCCTCTGTGCCAAACCGTTGTGGCAGGTTTTCCTGCAGAGACATCCCTGGGGATGGCAAGAGGAAGCCGAGCGCTGCCAGCGGCCACCACAGCCCTGTGCTCCCCGGGTATGGCTGCTGTGAGTGAGCAGCCAGCAGCGGGTGAAGAGGCATCCAGCTCCAGCCTGCACGGTGGGTCCTCCCTGCAGCATCCCAACGGGGGGCTCTCGGAGCTGTGGGGAGGGTTTGCAGCCACTGAGCTTCTCCTCATCACAGGCTCCGGCGTGGCGGGCCTGCTCCAGAACGTGCAGCAGCTCCTGGTGCAGATCCTGCAGACATCCCGGCAGCAGCAGGCGCTGCTGGAGAGCCTGGCCAGCGACACCGTCTCTCACCTCCACCTCCTCTCCCACAGCCTGGTGCAAGTGGGGGAGACCCTGCACCAGCTCCTGCTCCAGCCACAAACTCACCCAGGCACCCTCGGCCACTACATCCCCCATGTACCCCTATTCGAAGGGGGTCCCAGGGTGCCCTGCTCCCCTGGTGATGCCCACACCTCCCCAGATCACAAAGAGAAGCCTCAGGGGTCCCCTGACACAGGGTGCATCCCACCGTGAGCACCACCATCCACATACCCAGGGACGATAGTTCACTCACAGCCACAGATCTTTATAGCAGAGGCACCGGATGTTTTGGAAATTTATAGAAGAGAGACATTTTAATACAATTAAAAATAGGTTTTGTACCAGTGATGACAATCGACCAGTTCTTTCCCCCTCCTCGGGGGATGTTCCCCTTCTCACTTTCGAGATGAGCAGAAGGGAAACTTGGCTATTTACAGCCTCCGAGAAACTCCCAGGCCATGCACCATGAGGCAGAGGTACTTTCTTCACCCCTGCCCCACTGTCTGATGTCTTCCTGCTGCAGCTGGGCAGGACTCCAGCCTGAAGAACATGCTGCTGGGGCCGTGGAGGACAGGGGAGACTGCATACAGCACAGGCTGCATGGTGTACGCTATCCTTCTGCAAGGGAAGGGGCCATGATGGGCAATGCTGGGGAGGCAGTGGTGTTGCAGCTGTGGTCTCTTGGTCACCAGGTCCTTGGTGGATCACATCCAGCACATGAGCTGGTGCTGTCACAGCCGATACCGTGGAGTTGGCAGCATGTTGTTGTGTGCCCTGTCCTGCTCCCAGGACTCAGGACGTAGATCGCTGTCAGCAGTAGTTGCAGACATGGCATGGCACGCTGTGCTTGGCAAAGTGGTCACTGGCTCTTGCACAGGGTGCCCACATCCTCTATGGGATGGGGTGGATGTACTGGCTGCCTCCAGAATCTCTTGGCAATGTCCTAGAAGAGAATGTAGCTGATGGCACTGGTGTAGGGTGGATAGACATCAGCATGGCAGTCCTGTCACACCACATACCACTTGTTGAGGGGTGACCTGCCCCTTCTCCCAAAAGAGAGACCCCATGTAGAGGCTGGTCCACGCCACGTCAAGCCCAGCCAGGAAGGTGGGCAAGCAGTCCCTGTTGTCGTATCTCCTGAGCATGTAGCAGGGCTGGCACTGCTCCGATGCTATGCATCACCTTCAGGGTGAGGTTGCAGATGTCCCCCAACTCCTGCCCTTCCCCACACGTGGCCAAGCCATGGAGAGAGGCCAGAGGCATGGCCAAGAGGGTTCACCAGTGAGGTGGCTGGGTGCTATGACACCAGTGAGGTGTCCTCTGTGCTCCTGAGCATGGAGCAGAAAGCTCTGCCTGCAAGTCTCATTGTGTTGGGCTGCTGCCCGCAGAGAGGTCTGCCCTGGCTTTCCTCCTTGGGAGATGACCAGGGTAGGTGAAGGTAGGAGAAAAGTGGGATCTCCCTTCCTGACCCCGGCTGCTTGCCAGTGAGGTTGCAATTTGAAGGCACCTTTGGGTTGTGGTTGCCCATGCTCCCCACTACCCGGCTGTTCTCCCAGCTACCCAGCTGTGCTCCCCACTAAGCTCCCCACAACCCAGATGTGCTCCCATCATCCCACTGAGCTCCCCATCACCCAGATGTGCTCCATTCATGCTACTGAGCTCCCCATTACCCAGATGTGCTCCCATCATCCCACTGAGCTCCCCATCACCCAGATGTGCTCCATTCATGCTACTGAGCTCCCCATTACCCAGATGTGCTCCCATCATCCCACTGAGCTCCCCATCACCCAGATGTTTTCCCGTCACGCTACTGAGTTCCTCATTACCCAGATGTGCTCCCATCATCCCACTGAGCTCCCCACAACCCAGATGTGCTCCCATCATGCTACTGAGCTCCCCATTACCCAGATGTGGTAATGTCCCATCATCCCACGGAGCTCCCCACCACCCAGCTGTGCTCCCACCATCCCACGGAGCTCCCCACCACCCAGATGTGCTCCCATCATCCCATGGAGTTCCCCACCACCCAGATGTGCTCCCATCATGCTACTGAGCTCCCCACCACCCAGATGTGCTCCCATCATCCCACTGAGCTCCCCACAACCCAGATGTCCTCCCATCATCCCACTGAGCTCCCCATCACCCAGATGTGCTCCCACCATCCCACAGAGCTCCCCACCACCCAGCTGTGCTCCCACCATCCCACAGAGCTCCCCACCACCCAGCTGTGCTCCCATCATGCCACGGAGCTCCCCACCACCCAGCTGTGCTCCCATCATCCCACAGAGCTCCCCACCACCCAGCTGTGCTCCCACCATCCCACTGAGCTCCCCACCACCCAGATGTGCTCCCATCATGCCACGGAGCTCCCCACCACCCAGATGTGCTCCCATCATCCCACGGAGCTCCCCACCACCCAGATGTGCTCCCATCATCCCACTGAGCTCCCCACCACCCAGCTGTGCTCCCACCATCCCACTGAGCTCCCCACCACCCAGATGTGCTCCCATCATGCCACGGAGCTCCCCACCACCCAGATGTGCTCCCATCATCCCACGGAGCTCCCCACCACCCAGATGTGCTCCCATCATCCCACTGAGCTCCCCATCACCCAGATGTGCTCCCATCATCCCACGGAGCTCCCCACCACCCAGATGTGCTCCCATCATCCCACGGAGCTCCCCACCACCCAGCTGTGCTCCCATCATCCCACCGAGCTCCCCACCACCCAGATGTGCTCCCATCATCCCACAGAGCTCCCCACCACCCAGCTGTGCTCCCACCATCCCACTGAGCTCCCCACCACACAGCTGTGCTCCCATCATCCCATGGAGTTCCCCACCACCCAGATGTGCTCCCATCATCCCACAGAGCTCCCCACCACACAGCTGTGCTCCCACCATCCCACTGAGCTCCCCACCACACAGCTGTGCTCCCATCATCCCACCGAGCTCCTCATCACCGTGCTGTGAGAGCCAGGAAACTGAGTTTGTCTCAGTTAAAGCTCTTAAACCGAGCTTGCCTCAGACACCATTTACATTCAACCATGGGAGGCCTTGCAAGAATTATCATAATCAAAGCAGACAACAGGGATGTTGGTTTCAATTCTGCATAGGCAGGATCATCCCGGTCCCCTTGTCTGAAGCTGATAACCCTCCACGGGGCTGTGAAAAGTGCTGACTCAAAGGTTGGGGTCAGATAGCGAACACACTATGAGGGACAGCAGCCACCCAGAGGACCCTCGCAGAACCCCAGCTTTGGAACCGTGCATTCACTAAAGTACATCCATCATTATCACAGTGATGCCTCTCTGCACTTTGCACGCAGTTATGGGTAACACCCCAAAGAACCCGAACAGGCTCAGAGGGTGAGCTCCCACTGCTGCAACACCCTGGGTAATGGCCAGTGAGATGCCCCTGGATCCATGAGTGGCGACTATCTGCTTGCAGCTTCTCTTATCTTATCTCTCTCTCCCCCTCTCCTCTCTCCCTGCATTGATCTCTCCAGGAATAAACACTGGGGTTTGATAAGGAGTTTCAGGGTCTGGCCTCCTTTGTGCCTTCATTCCAACCAGGCGACTCATCTATTGATTCTGGCCAGGTCTGAGTCAGGGATGTGTTCCAACCAGGCCAAGACACCATCCTTGCTTCCCTGCCATCCTGCTGTGCTCCGCACTGGAGGCTGCAGCCTTGTCCCTCCATCCCCCGTGGGACTCCATGGCACCCATTCCCTGAGCTCTGGGGGTGCTGGGGCCATGGGGCAGGCTGTTTCCCCACACAGAGAGGGGCAGGAGGGGGATTGTGGTGAGGGTGCCCTAGGACGCGGTACAGCAGGAGGCTGACTGCAGGAGTGTGGGGTGCAGAGGGGGTTACAGAGCTTGGGGTGGAATTGGGGGTGCAGTGGGAGGCAGCAGCCTGCAGAACCAGGGACCAGGAAGGGTAGGTTGTGTGACAGGGAATGTGGGGTGCAGTGCAGTGTAGTGGGGTGCAATGGATATGCAGTGTGGATGCAATAAGGGTGCAGTGGGGTGCAGTGGAGTCCAGCTGGGGTGCAGTGTGCATAGAGTGCTGTGCACAAGGGGTGCAGAATAGTGAAGTGGTTTTCAGTGGGGATGCAATGGGTTCAGAGGAACTGCAGTGGAGTGCAGCTGGGGTGTAGTGGGGTTGCAGTGGGGTGCACTGGGGTGAAGTGGGAGTGCAGTGGGGGCTCAGGGGTGTGGAGTGGGTTGAAGTGGGGACGCAGTGGGGATGCAGTATGTACAGTAGGATGCAGTGGGAGTGAAGTAAGTGCTCAGTGGAGGTGCAGTGGAATGCAGGGGATGATGTGCGGGTGCAGCAGGGTGTAGTGGGGTGCAGTGGGGATACAGACAGTATGCAATGGGGATGCAATGAGGGTGCAGTGGGGTGCAGCAGGGTGCAGTGAGGTTTAGTGGGAGTTACAGTGGGGGTGCATTGGAGGTGCAGTGTGGTGCAGCAGGGTGCAGAGTTGTGTAGTGGGGGTTACAGTGAGGGTGGAAGGGGATGCAGTGAGGGTACAGTGTGGTGCAATGTGGTACAGGAGGATGCAGTGGGGGTGCAGTGAAGAGCAGAGGAGGTTCAAAGGGGGTGCAGGGGTGGTACAGAGGGAGAAGAGTGAGGTGTAGTGCTGTGCAGTGGGGTGTAGTGGGGTGAGGTAGGGTGCAGTGGGGATGCAGCAGGTGACATGGGGTGCAGCAGGGTGCAGTGGGGGTGCAATGGGATGCAGGGGTGATGTGGAGGTACAGTGTGGTGCAGTTGGGTGCAGTGGGGATGAAGTGCGGGTGAAGTGGAGTGCAGTGGGGACGCAGAGGGGCAATTTGGAGGTGCAGTGATGTGCACTGGTGTACAGTGGGGGTGCACTGTGGTGCAGTGGGATGCAGTGGGGTACAGTGTGGTGTAGCATGTAGTCTGGTCCAGTCTGACCCACGGCTGGGGCATCACCACCCCTTGCACTGCCCCCCCCAGAGCACAGTGTCACCTCTCAGTACCAAGGGGGTGAGACCCATCGGGAACTGCCCCATAGCCAGAACAGTGGTGTTTGTAGTGGGTGGCTGGGCAGGCAGGGGGTGTTCCTTCAAAGACACCCTCTGGCACTCACACTGACCCTTCCCTGCCCAAACATGCCCCCAAACACTTGCTCACAGGGGGATGTCAGGGTGGCAGTGGGGCACGGTGGGACCCCAGACCCTTTCCAGCAAGCCCCAAGCCCTAGGATGCAGGCACCAAGCGGTTACAGCAAGGGAATTGGGGTTGGCACCAAGTGGGTGCAGTGGGGAAGGGTCTGAGCGAGACCCCCCCCCCCATTGCTGGGGTATCCATCTGAAATGAC